ACGGGAGACTCAATTGAATCTCTCGTTTATGATGTCCTCCAGCTGAATGTGCTGCACACAGGCCGCCTCATGATTCAGTTGGCACGATATTCGAGATATCGCAGTATATTTTCATAAAGGGAACTACTCACAAGGTTGCTGAAAACTCTTCGACAGCCCACGACCGGTTTCGCCCTTCCAGTGCGGGTTCATCAGATAGGCGCAGTCACCGAGTTTCTGTCAACCTTATGTTCTACTTGAACCCAGATTGGACTGTTTTCGAGAAATACACAAATTTGCAAATCAATTTGGTTTTCACGAGAGACTCGACAGTGCCAATTTCACGGTGTCACGTTAGATATGTACACGTGCATCATGTGACTTTACACTGCCATCTATTTTTATATGTTCTTTGTTTTTCTCGAAGCGACAAGCATATGGCAAACGTGTGTTCACAATAAAAATTCTGTCACCAGTGGATTTAAGCTTAAATAGCAGCTATGTATGGCCGTACCCATCCATTTCTGATTAATTAACGAACGAGTCAGCCGTCAGAAACTAAATCTATCATCCTATCATCTTTGGTCATCTGAAAGTGCTACAGTGAGGTTAGCATGTGTGTTTCTGGTGTCAGAACGGAATCGCGCAGTTCTACCGCATCACCAATCTGGGTCGCAACATCAGCGTGCAGTTGTATAGTAGAACGGAGCGGTGCACCGATGGCTGTGTTGAGTAGTGGTGCCTTTAGGAAAAGGGGTTAAATTCGATTTTGGTTGATTGTTTCCATGGCTCGCTTGCTTTTAGTTTGACTGACCGCCACTAACGCGAACCCTTAGATCCGTACCCCACGACTTCTTCCAGCTTAATTCTATGGTGTATCCTACCATCTGCGTTCGCGCTGTCCGACTGAGGCCACGATTTCTTAAACACGGAAGTTCAATGATAGGGTCGAGTTCAAAATCTTGGTTAAATTCATCATGCTATGTGACTCCATTTATCAGAATCTCCAAGTTTCCCCCATGTATGGAAAACGAATGAAATGGCTAATGCCTTCTATGTATGGCCACATTGGTTTGGTTGTAGATAGTTGTATATAACTTATTTCCGTTTTGTCCAATGTCGCGTATGTTACATCCATTGATTGTCGATCCCCTTGCCCCGATTGATTTCGTTCTTTGGTTCTCATATCAGCCTACCAAAGCATGCCTCAGTGTAACAGACATTCATGTCCCATGTGACTGCTGTTAGTTCAAATACTTTTGCGATTTAAGGGAAGGATTGTTAATCATTTGCTTGCCTGTTCCGCCCGCTCTGTTGTTGACCAGCTCCATCCCTAATCCCCGATACATTGGTCTTTGTTTTCTTAAGCATGCAACTTTGTTTGTAATTCACAAAGTGTTTACTCTGATATTTCAGTTCAGTAGGCAAGTTTGAATTGTTCCGTTACTGATACAGTGGATTCAACAACTGAAATGTTTAGTTAGTAATGTTAGTAATATGTTTTCTCCCAAATTCTGCATTACGGAGGCTGCTGTGGTCCTCTATATTGGTGATCCCTTGTGCGTTTCCTGTTGATCAAAGGTGGAATAGGCGGTTTTGTATCGATCCGTGATTTGTACCGACCTTTCTGATTGCAGTGTACCTATTATGTTGGGCTGATTCTGAATTAATTCCAGTATATCGTTTCAGAGGGATTTGGTAAACAATCGGTGGATTTATTTCTGGGCAACGTTTCGCTTTCGACACAAAAGCTTCGTCAGACCAAGTGAGTAGGTTTTAAGTGGGTTTTAAGGCAGTCAGGGAATCGATCCGTGAGATTTCTTATGACTAGCCGACTTGATCAGTGTTGGGTGTGCAGACTGATGTTCCTGTTTGTTGGTTAGTGCGGATGACTAACATTTACGATAGATTGGTTAGGGGGGAGGGTTTATCTTCATGATGAATCCGGATTTTTCGTCCTTGTTTTTTCAGTCTAGGACAACTTAATGGAAAATTTCTCCTGGGGTCGTTCACAGATTCGTTCACCTGTGTTGGTCAAAGGGAGGCGGAACGATTGGTTTGGGGATGGGGGATGGGAATGGTTAACTGAATCTAACTCTACTTGGATTTTGTACTTTTAGATCCGAACCATTTCCCTGATAACTGCAAACCGCCTCGTGTCATCTCGGCTGATCTACGACCGCTTTCCACACGTTTGCAAGTTCTACACCCTCTACTCTATTTACATTGGGATGCTTGGCGATTTCCATCACCTCGGCCACCAGTCGCTGTGGCGTGAATCTTAAACCCCGTCTCAGGATGTCTACATTTTCTAAATCTATCCTATGTCCAGTGTCTAGAGCATGCCTTGCCATTGCTGAATCTTTGACTAACGAAGCTTTTCTGCCAAAAGCAAAACGTTGCTTAGCAATAAATCCACCGATTGTTTACCAAACTCCTCTGAAACGATGACTTCCCAATCGGTCCCAAAGATTTTCCAATTGATTAATTCCAGTATAGTTTTTTTGATAAGCTTGTCACTGATTGATGTAGAAAGGGCAGATGACAGCACAAATTTATCGTCATGTAAATTCCAATCCCCCAGTTTGTTGAAGCACTTTCCAGTATTCTTGATAGTGTGTTAGCATTTCGAAGTTAGACGTTTTACTCTCCCTCAGAGGTCCTTTGTCAACTTACGTACCGTGATCGCAGGTTGACTGGTCTGAGGGGACATCGATTTTTGGGGACTTTCGGTAGCTCACAGAATTTCGCAGTTTTTATCCGTCTCCTTTTTTTGCCGTTCTAGTTTGATTAACTTGTTGGCGGCCTGTAATTTATTCAGCGTAGTATTTATTCAAAAGTGGTGATGTGATGGATTGTGGCAATATGTGATCGTGCTGGTTGAAGAAGAACCATTTGAGTAGTCTATGTTTAATGGCTAAGCTCCGCTTCGCATCTGATGAAAGCTGAGTTTTACTGCGGAAATTGTGGAGCCGCTTTGCAGTGTTGGTTTACTGCTGTGTAGTAGTCAATGAATATCCGGGAAAGTTCGAGAAGATGCGTGAGAATGTTCGGCTTCCAAAGACTATGTGCATATGATACATTCACTTTCCCGGCTAACGACTGGTTAATTCGTTTTCGTTTGTAAACGACTTCGCTGCGAAGGGCTTTCGTCCCTTTATAGTGGTTTGGCATTCTTTACGTAGTCTGGCCCATCCAGGAAAACCATTTGCTTCTTTTTTTCTGGTTCCTGTGGTTTTCTGAGTGCTCCTTGTTCGCCTTCTGTTTCGTCACTCGCTCGTCGAATTAGTTGTTGCGGTTCCTTCGACGAGCAAATTATTTTCTAGGGCAGTTCCAAGATGCATTCTTTACGTCGAAGTTGTATCCTTTTATTACGATGTCTTTTCGGAAAGAGTGCAAAACGGGACAAGATTTGATCCATCTGTCCCTGTCACTTCGATTGTTCTTTTTAATGAGCTCCTTCATTCTGCCATTCATCCTCAATTTAAAGTCGTCCTCCATATCCTTTATCTTATAGTCATTCAGCGAAAAAAGTTATATTAGCCACTGAGGCACCAAAACAATGCAGTGTGCCTGACTGACGCCTACACCTTTTCGTATACTTGGGGGACTTACCTTTAATTGCTCGAATATTCTCGTAGTTTCAACGTCGACAGTGAAGGGCGATGATGCCTTCGAGATCTCGGCGTCAGGTCGTAACATATCTAATGGTTAAAGTGGAAGAAAATAAAGAAATAGGCAACTTAGATTGGAAAATGAATTAGAGAAAGCGGGAACAAACGACCGCTTGTCAGCGCACCTTGGTTAGAGTGTAGTGGGATGCTATGAACTGTGGAGTGACTGGGTTGATCGATTCGTATCACGTGACCAAGACCGGACTCAGCGCACATACGAACAGTTTTCGGATTTCGCTTCGGTTGTAGTCAAGCCACGGCATGCGGCTGATAATGGCAGTCTATTGGATACTCCTCGGTGGCTAACGTGAAAAGACCCGTTCGGATTGATCAAGTGACCGGTGTCAATTGGCACATTTCAGGTTTTGACTGAAGCGTTGAGTTTGGTAATGTTCCAAAAGAAGAAGCGTTCGCATATTCTCTCCGCAAGTTACCGTGTCGTGTGCCCAACATATTTCGCTGACGGACACCAAGAGAAGGGATGTACAACCAAAATCTGGATGAGGACTGGGCTATTATATACATAATGCACTACTCATAAGTTTACTGACAGCTCATGAGAGCCCATGACCTGTTTTAAGGGATGTACAACCAAAATCTGGATGAGGACTGGGCTATTATATACATAATGCACTACTCATAAGTTTACTGACAGCTCATGAGAGCCCATGACCTGTTTTGCCCTTCTGTTCGCCGAACAGATAGTCAGTCACCTGATCAATTACCAATTATCCACTTCTATTTTAAACACTCAGCATGACCGACCTGACGACGAGACCCCGGAAGCAATAATGTTGATTACTGTGATTTTGTTCATCCAAACATAACCATGACATTTAACCACAAATTCTTGCTTTCCTCCAGGCATCCGGATGGCCCAATCTGGGTCTGCTGTTTGAGCTGGATGCTCGTTGTTGTCCTAGTTACTTGTTTGAGGGCCAACCGCCCGAACTTTTCAGAAGGAATCTACCTAACGCACAAGATCCGACTGTAGGAATCATGCAGAGTTTACTGCAAAGGCTCGTTTTCTGTTTATAGGGTCTGTGTACCGAGTCAACCATCACGCCGTGTGACCAACCGACTGACATATATATGAATATATATATATATAATGTGAATAAATGATACTGGTGGACCAGTTGTCGTCATGGCACAACACGACGTTACCGTTTAGTTACGAACGAACTTAAAGAGGTAGAACGACAGGTAGTCGAGAAAGAGTGCAACATTTCGAACTATAATCAAGGTTGGAAAAATGTCACTAAGCCAGGCTAGATATCCGACAACATCACCCCGACTTTCTGTTGGTAATCGTTCGCGAATATGTAGGTCTTCAAGTTTGTTCATTGACAACGGTGGTGCCTTCAATTTTTGATGAGCTGTTTTATCCTCCAGTGTTCAGTAAATGGCCTTCCGTCTTCTGATACTGACTTGTCTGATGGCATCTCGGCCCCAAACAACTGCGTTTTATCCAGTCAAACGAACTACTTCGGCTTGACAAGCAAAGATGAAGCCAACCCAGAACGTCGGGCGTTACGCCGGTCGTCAGATGATATATAGCAAAGCCATCTGCCGGTAGTTGAGAATGACGTAGCTGAACGAGAATTCAAGACTACTCTGTCTTCTCATTTCACTAAAACTGGCGTTGATTTTGTCAATATGCTGAGGTCTCGTTGCTTACCAATCCCAACAGATTGTGGTTTCCAGAACAAGAGGCTGATAAAATAGATTTGTTGTGTTGCATAGATGAATAAACCACACAGGAGCGGTTCCTTCTGGCAATCGGTCAGTGCTGGGGGGGCAAACTATTTAAAAATGCTGGTTGAAAGTTTATTGATCAGCAGGTGGACAAATATACGGTCAATATGTATTGCACCGTAGAATTCCGCGAAGAAGTACAAGAATTCAGCCCCTTCATTTGAGTAGACAGTGGTATCTTGCGCAGAGTGATAAGCTTTCTCACGCACCCTACCGAGAAACTACAGGGATGCCTCCATGAACGACGTTGAATGAAAATCTTCAACAGCCCACCGCGAGAAACGTGCTTTGATGGCTCATCAAAATTCTCGTAGGTTTCAATTCATACCTGAACACCGTATTGAGGGAAGGGTTGACTGAAGTTAAACATATTTTCAAACAAAAATGTCGTTAAAATGAGTTCCAACTGAGGCTGCATTAAGCCTAAGACCTTTGCCAAAACAACTGACATATGTTTGGTACTCAAAATCTTTTACCAAATGGTATTTGACCTCAAAGTTGAACATTTCGTTTTCTGTTTGGTTGCCACTAATTTGCGCGATAACACGGGGTTCGGTTTGACAGAAATATTTTTTAAGTAACTTGCAGGTGGAAGATCTTGTGAAACCCGATTCCAAAAAGGGGGCCCAAATGCCTGTCGTCCGTTTTTTGTGCGCCATTGGGTGGTTGACATCGCAGAGGAGGAGGATGACCAATGTTCCATTTCTTGTCAAAGCAACTATTTATAAAACTGAAAAGTATGGAAATTTTCTTGAGAAGACACTTCTCAAAACCAAGATGATGAGCTGCACAACCTGCCAGCAATACACCAATCGTATTGTCTTGAAGGTCAAAATGAAATGGGCCCTCTACCAGCTGGTACCCCCTCTGTTGAAGAAGTTATTTCATCCCACTGAGTGGAGGTCTTCGTCTTTGAGCAGATTTGGCTGAAATTTTTACGCAAATTTGAACCTCCAGTTCTCTTTGCTGTCAGCGAACGTTTCAATGTTGTGATCTGGTGTGACCAACTCCTGGTCACTAATTTTACGTCTACTCCTGTCACTCAACGCTCTCATGTTTTCTCATCTGTGGTTATGTGTTCAATGATTTGTTCACTTTCCCGTTTGGAAATCGCTAGCAACGTTCACGCCATTATTTATCGATTTACATTTACGGACGTTAACCAGCGTCAATGATAGAAGCACAAAAATGCAAACAGACAGTCAATTGCCTTGTGAATTCCGCTCGATCAATTGGTCAATTTAGTGTTTGAATCCATCACGTGATCCGGCTTGAGTTTTTCCGGCTAAAAATTTGGTCGCTGTGTGAGCGTGCGTACGTGAGTGATCCTGTAAGCAACAGTATGTATATCTGGCCCGTCAGCCGGGCATGAACAGGCCACTGGGACGGGATGTTGGGCGACTGTGAACGTGGGGTGAACACAGCTACGAAAGATGAATGAACCTGTGCGTGAGTTGAGTTGTTCACGTTTCGAACAGCTCCGTGCGTTCAGGATGGATCGGGTCGCTCGACCACCATAGATGCACTTGTATCTGGCGCAAAGAGGTGCGATATGTCGGGGATGAACTAGGGGAGCAGGAGACCATGTATCGCTGTTGGTTAAATCTTGAATGAAGGAGGCGGTAGATTTTTAAAGCTACAAAGAGAGGTACGCGACCTCTGATGTTAAAAATCTACCAACAATATAATGGTGGTAGGTTTCGCCAAATCCAACCGCCAGACTTGCTTCAACTGATCTACAGCGGGTTACAAAACAACAGTGCAGTCCGGTATCCAGTTCAGTATCTACCGTGGCAATCACAGTTTGCTTTTTTGATCTTGTTCAGACGACTCTGCGTGGGTGTAGAAATTGTACTGCAATTTCATGCCGTTAAATGGCATTAGAACTGCTCTCCTTAGGTATGGGCGTGGAAAGGGAGCATGGGTTGAATGTAGGATACAACGATTACTCAGGTGAAAAAACCTTGTTTAGCTGGCGGAAATGAATGTATCGTGCTGTTTACCCGACTGAAGCCACCTGGTTAGATAGCCAAACAGAGCTTTGTTACTATGGTACCAACCAAACCGGTGGCGCTCTAACCTGACTGGTTTTATTTGCATACAGCTTGGGTGTTGCCATGGCCAATAATAATAAACTTAGTTGCGACAGAAGGGTAGGCATTTGGTAATATTGCAAGCGTCACCTTGCTGACATTCCTGTTTTCACTTCCGTGAAAAGCTTTCTGTTATATATTTCGATGTTTCTAATACTAGTATTTGTTGTCACTGGTGGGAAAGAGTCAACTGCTGATTTGGAATTCTGAGATATTCCGCTCAACAAACGTCCAAACAGCCCAAATTATCCACCGTAAAACAACCCAGAATGGTCCGTTTTTGCACCGGAGAATTTAAACTTGGCTTCCGCCTAACAAAAAAATCGTCGATCCAGAAAAACTGCAGACAGACGGTCAGATTTTGAAAAGAATTCCACGAGATAATGGCTGTCTGGAACACATTTTTTGGAATACACAGCTTGTAATGAGCTAGAGATAGTCCGACGTCCACTATCTGGAAGTAAGAGGCTTTTTGTGATCAAAACCTAAAAACAAACACATGGTGGAAGCAGATAGCTTACTGGACCTGGCTTTTCAGTCAGTAGAACTAATGACATCCTACACCCTGGCTTTGAGGCTTCATACTAGCCGGCCGCGAGTGACACCATTTTGTACGCCTTGCCTACTACCAGTTCACAGGCAGTTGCAGCAACACTTTCATCGCCAGAATGGACCACCTTCTCCCCCCGTAGAACGGTAGGTGCGATGAGAAAAAAATCGCCTGATCTCTGACTCATAGCCTAGAACCTGGACGATCACAGTTCATTCTGTTGACACCAAAGAATTGTTCACTGTTGCAAAGACGTAACGCAGTACTCATAAGGGTTCTGAAAACAACTGGACATAAACGAGAGTTCCAGGTGGGATTTATGCCGTGAAAACCAAGTTGGTATGCAAATGAGTGTATTTGTCGCTCTGTTTTGCATCCGGACAACTCGGATACAAACATGCAACAAGCCGAAACTGACTGCAATGGATCATCCGGTTTGGAATACACAGGAGATATTGACAAAAAACACTTGTGTATCTTGTCATCAATCATCAGTTATCTTTTTGTTATATCGTCAGTGGCCGTCTATTGGTTACGCCTGCAATGAGCCTGCCAGACTACGCGATAAGGAGAAGACAGAGGACTCGGGACACGGCTGTATTGTCAAGACAAACATACAGAGCTTCTGGGTAAATATATATAGGATGACTAATGGCCAAATATGGTCATTCAGTTGTTCGTTCTGTACAGCCAATGGCGGTCTTCCGGTCGTGAACAGTTTCAGCCCCACTCCACTGGTCTTATTTTGCTAAGCCGTGTTTGGTGTGCTCCGCCAATGCACCTGCTTTCCAAACGTGTCGTACCGATGGTGACCTTGGGGATGTGTCACTCTCTACACGTGTACTTTTTCCATGTCTGGGCGCGTCCTGACACTTTTACTCTTTTGAACGTCTTCATTTCTTTTGTCAACCTATAAAACCCAACTGCTACAGAACCGGGAGCTACCGCACCAAGGTACCTAGACTCTCTTCTGTGGAAGGAGACGCGTGACCTGAACATTCATACGGTAAATAACTTTATTACTGCTGATGATAACATTGGGGGAAAGCTATTGTCATGCCACAGCAAATGTTGTGAAATTCACGAAACTTCTCCCATGGTGGGACTAAAGATGTAGTAAATGTCGATGAAAATACGCTTTGTTGTCACAAAGGAAACTAATCACAAGGTAAATGAATATCATAGAAACGAGAGATTCACTTGAGTCTCCCGTGAAAACCAAATTGATTTGCAAATGAGTGTAGTTGTCGCTTTGTTGTCCTTCTTACGTCTTGAGACACCGGAAAAAGATCTTGCGGTCCAAAGATCAAGTGGGTTACTTACTCTACAGAACCATAGCTAATGAATGCAAATTCTCAAGCTGTTCCAAGAAAGTTATTCCAATGCTTGTCTCTACATCTACGAAATACTCACACGGTGCTTGGGTGACAACGGCTTTGCTCCGGAGTTGGCTAACAGGAGAGTCATTGATCGTTGGTTTGTTCACTGGGTCTGGCACTTTTATTACAAGTATGTCCTTTTCAGTCGAGGTGACATCATCATTGCGTTCTGTTTGTCCACAATAACCGAAGTACCGCCACGTTACGCTCAACTGCCCAGAAATACACGGATGATGACATTGATTGGTTTGCAATAAAACTGCCGAGCTCAGCGAACAGACCAACGATCATCTAGGTTATCTGAGCTACCAACATTCCCTTCAATAGGAGGAGAGTATCTACTTAGAACGGTCGAACGCCCATAGCGCTCGATAACATTTCCTCATACCTAGTGCAGGGTGAATGTCTCGGTGTTCGAAGTGTTGCGATTCCACTTACCTGCTTCGGTATCATCAGTTTTCGCTAGTTGTCTCGCTGTTTTTCACCGGTATTCCTCACTCCATGTTTAGCTGAACCACGGATTCTAGTAAGACGGTGCTGAAAAAAATGACAAAAACTTGCAGGTTATTGTACATATTCGACTACTGCGTCATACGTTGTCCCCGGGTTAGGTAGAGCTTCACAAAACTCTTTGACCATGGTAGCTAAAATGCTGCTCCATTGCTTTGATCAATTCGGTGTCAGTAAAAAAGTATCATTTCAAGCTCTTTTTAGGACCTTAAAACCTCAAGTACTTGGACGGATCCAGGTCGAGTGAGTGTGATAAATGGTCTTGGGAATCAAACCCAACATCGTCAAGACATCCACGAGTTTATGAGTTTTGTGGATTTTCTTTTGATTTGTTCAACAAGTTACGCTTGGGAGACAGTCGGATTAAACTTCTTTGGAACGCAAAAAATGTCATTCCATTTTTTTACACTTTCTACCATAGAGCTTCGAGAAGCGTTCCGGGTGATTGACGAAAACCATGACGGTACTTTGAGCTATTCGGAGCTGAGCAAGTTGATTAGGCTGGTCAGTCCCGATTATTCGGACTCTGAGATCACGCTTCTCATGCACAAATCAGACGTTAATGGTGAGTTTTTCCAACCTAGCTCATATAAGATATGCGTCGAAACTCGGACATGCTCCCTTTCTGCGTAGCTCTTTTCATAAAGGTAACTACTCACAAGGTTGCTGAAGACTCTTCGACAGCCCATGACCGGTTTCGCCCTTCTTAGGGCTCATCAGGTAGGCGCATTCCACGAGTTTCCGTCAACCTTATGTTCTACTTGAACCCAATTTGGAATGATTGCGACAAATACACTCATTTGCAAGTCAATTTGGTTTTCACGGGAGGCTCAAGTGAATCTATCGTTTATGATGTTATTCAACTGAATGTGCTGCACACAAGCCACCTCATGTTTCAGTTGGTACGATATNATTCGAGATATCGCAGTTTATTTTCATTGAAGAAACTACCCAAAAGGTTCTTTGTAATGTACTACTACTGAAGACATCATAAAAAACGAGAGATTCAGCTGGGTTCCAGGCGAGTCTCTCGGAAGAAACAAATTAGTTTGCAAATGAGTGTATATTCGATACCCACAAGCTTGCTGAAAAATCTTCTTTGTGAGCAACGTTAGGAGCAGTTTCCTCTATGAAAATGTACTGCGATATCTCGAATATCGTACCAACTGAAACATGAGGTGGCCTGTGTGCAGGACATTTAGTTGAAGAACATCATAAACGAGAGATTCACTTGAGCCTCCCGTGAAACCAGATTGGTTTGCAAATGAGTGTATTTGTCGCTATGCGTAGATCTGTTTCGTCGGACTACGTCTCTGTTCCCATTTGTCTGGTAGACTGAGAATATTATCCTTCAAAACAGTTTTAGAAGAGCTAACTGAGGGTAAGTTCCCTTCATGTGCAGTCGGTACTGAGGAAGTTCTCGTCCGCTATCCTGAGCAACAGTTTATTGTCGTGCGAAAAATTGTCTCGAGTGTCAAGACCAAAGCACTCTCACCGAGCACTCGATTCAGACAAATTGGTGTCGGAGCGCCACCTCGTGTCCACTTTCGGTTCCGTAGCCATTAACCTATATTAGTTAGCTGCCTACTGGCTATCAGCGATGAGGCTTAAATCTTAACTTTGAATATTTATAGAACAATTGCATTGGTTCAGGTAATGAACGACATTTCCACCTACATTGTAGTTACTATTAAGGCGTTCCGGGTGTGAAATTTTCGTTCGATGGATGTGGCATTCACTGTAGTCGAACTGTGGGTATGCGTACTTGATTATTTCCCCCCTTCATTCGCTGGACTACATTGGACGACCAATTTACGAATCCCTCAAACGCGATGTTCTCAATTTCAACGTTGCATCATGGATATATCGGGAGAGTCTGATTTAAATGAAACCAAAGACAACGGTTGTCACTTGTTCGTTACCTGGTTCACTTGCATGCATCTCAACCGCAGAGCACAGTTTTCATTTTTTGAGTAATGTTTCTTTCATACCAGATTGACTGGCTAGACCGATTCGTAAGGTTGTTAGTTACACTGGGCTTTTGACCCCATGGATACCCGGAACAGGTAGCAGTTCTTTTTCTTGCGAACAAAAGGACAGAATTTATTGGTGTGTTCCGATCAATTCGTTTGAACGTGCCCGGGTGTATTCCACGTGGTTGAACACCTATCGAAGGGCATGAGGGTTACAACCACACTCGCTACAGTGGTATCCGAACGTTGTGAATTTCTTTCCGTAATGCATCGAAGTATGTCCCATACGAATTCGTTTCCGTTCACCTAAAGTGATACCAAGTAGCATGATTGAATGAAGCACTTTCTATTCCAAAAAGACGCTCAAGCCTTCTTCCTTTTTCCTTTTTGTTCGACTGTACAGGTGACGGGAAAATATCCTTTGACGAGTTTATTCGACTTATGTCTTTCGGAGCAACCGATGACGTATCTACAACCGAAGAGGCATTTAGAGTATTTGATTCGGTAAGTTGAATTGGGCAAAATGTAGACTGTTGAGAGTGGCTCTTGTGGTACCATTTAATACAGAACTGGAGAATGATAATCGGTTACGTTCGGGGTAGGTATGCAACCGCCTTCCAAGAAGGAAAGGCTTGTACAAACATAATTCCGGGAGAGGGAATTCGAATACAACCAACTGGATTTTCATCAACGACGTTCTGAGGCAGTGACGTTAGTTTCCGTGATTCAAACCAAATACCACCTGACTGACAGCTTATAAATTTATTTCAGCTACCGACACTCAGATATCTTGTCAGACCTCGCGATTGTTGCATTTCGTGTGGAACCACATGGGCCAATGAGACGCATTTCTTCCAAAGCCGCACACAGGTAACTAATCGAAGCATTTGCCCTGCCACACATGCGAAATATGCCAACATCCGCTGTGTCACGGAGGTCCGTTTACCTTTTTGAAGTTTACTGATGAGCGAGAACTTAAAGCATTTCGTTATGATGGCCTCCAAACAGCGAACAAGTTTGTGCTGGCGCGAGCCTAACGAGTATGTACAGAACAAAAACTAGGGTCCATAGGTCACTTGATACTGCATGCAGTCTAATTTTTTCCAATAGCTACAGTAGATTTTTATGCATACCGGATTGTGAAACACCCGAAATCGGGTGGATATCGCTGATGCCATTCGCATGCTGTTGGTGGTATAGAACAGACAAAGGGGCGTATTCAGACTCATCTATTGGGGGCGAGATGGGCCAAATGGTTAGATCGTGAATTTACTGACCGGAAGATCCGTGGTTCGAACCCGACCTCTGCCCCTCAACTTCCACTGTCTAGGCTTGGGCGACCTGGCAATATCCCAGCCCTGTGGCCTCCTTCGTGTGGTACGGCAGCTAGGCACCGAAAGGGTGCTACAGCTGGACGATTGGCTTGCTAGGCGAGACGCAGTGTGCGACCTATTCCATGACGGTTCAGTTACCGCTACGTGCTGGCTGTGTCCCAGTCTTGCCGATTCTGTCTCACTATCTGACTAGCCATCCGCGTCACATGTTGCCACCTGAGCTAGGGCCTAACGACGCAGATATTGGTCTCAACTGCCTTCCAACTTTGTACTTTGCACATCTCACTGATTAACAGATTGCTAACATAGTTCTGCATTGTGATCTTTGGATGCGTATGAATAAAGTAAATCCGGACGCCAGACCGGTTATGCGTGTGAATAGCGCTTCAGGAACATTCTTCCCGTGAACAAAGCGTATGCTGGAAGACTGACTATTTATACGGCCAAAGTGCACCCCAACTTCCTATTAATGAAAATACTTTAGGGAGTAGAAATATGCTTGTGGGGTTTTATTCGACAGTTCAGACGGAACGTAGGTAGAAATTTATTTTGGTTTTAGTTGACTGAGTTCGAATCCTGGTTTCATTTTGATCGGTTGGAGAGTTTGATGAAAATCTGCATATCAGTAATATTCGTTCTTCTTACGTTTATCATGATATTGTTACGTTCACTAATCATATTGTTTCCGGTAAAACGCACCAGATGGAGGTAGATCGTACAATTCACAACACTGACTCTCGGTTTGTTCATTCTTGAAGCAGGAAGTTTATCACTATCAGCACAGTTAAATTATAAAATCGGCCTATTCATGAAGAAAACCGAATAGATGAAACTCTAGCTGAAAAACTGCGACGCTAGGGACACGTGAGTCGAACTGACTGAACGATTTCGCTTCCCTGTTGTGGAAGTAGGCTGCAGCCTGACGTGTTATTCCTAGAACACATGGGCATGCGCGGACATGACTGACAGAATGTAAGATCAGATAAGATTTTGTTCGATTGTTCCGAACGCACTCTATGTCACATGACGTCATAAGATTCTGGTTGCCGAAGCGAGGACCGCTGAGCCGAGTTGGGTGGGTCTTTGATGGATATACCCCTGTTTTGCGTGCTTGGCGCCATAATTTTTGTCGACAATATTGACCAGTTTCTAGGTACTCGTGATTTGATTATGCTGTCCGTGACTGAGCGGGAAACGAAACCTAACTTGGTCTTTTTCAACGTGCCTCTAGGTAATTGTTAGGGTGAACTATGGAATACTATTCGTAAGATGAACACCCTACAACCAGTATGAAAATTATTTATCTACGAATGTTTTCTCAGCATAATTAGATAAAGGTAACTTCGGCAAACCCATATGAACAGAAATAAATCTGTCCTCTTTGTCTATACGATGTTCGTCACAAAAATTTACCTGTGGGCGACAACGTTTTATCCTCTTCGTGTTGTCACACTGTTGCCATTCTTCTCGTACGCCTCATCGTGTTCACCATCGTCACAAGTACTATATTTTTCAAAGTAGTTCTGTTGTATGGATTTTTTTTTAAATTATAAATTCAAAACATAGTAGTGGAACAGGTTTTTGTAATCTGACGTCTCGGTTGCCATGGATGACCTTTCTCGAGGATTTCTACAATCAATTGGTTACGGGTCAAATGCAGCGACACTTGTGTTCACTGCCGTGTCTTCTGATTGGTGCATCCCTGTGATCAGTTGGCAGTCAGATTGGGTCAGCGTGAGCGTGTGTGTGTGTGTGTGTGTAAGTGCGTGTGTACTTGTGATTCTGTGTACACTCTGATCAGGATGTGCTGTCAAATCAAAACTGGCCGCTACTACGTCGCCACTGATTTGGGTAGACTGGAGAATACTGGCAAAATCGAGTCATTCACGTGACATATACTAGCGTTCCAATTAACGACTGTTTATCTTTTCTGTATTGCATTTTGTGCGACGGTGCATCTCTAGCACAGAGAACAACTTTCACCCCTGTTGATGTCATTACTGGTGTGTCTAAGCACCAACTATTTCACCTTTCAAAACACGCTGCACAGACAAACTGACGGCGTCGCTATGGACTCTCCCGTATAATCCATAGTGGCTTGTCTTTTCTTACACCATACTGAAATTAAGGCCTTAAGTGAATTCCACCATCCACCACGCACCTGGCTGAGATATGTTGACGACATATTTACGATCATATCAACCACCAAACTGCTTGAATGAGCAATGTAGTAGAAAGCAATTCACGAATGAAACTGAGAACGAGCAGAGTACCATTGATTTCCCGGACTGCAAGCTCTCGGTCAACGCTAACCATGGGTTCTCAATAGGGATCCACAGAAAACCTACACATTCAGACAGGTATTTGCACTATGAGTCTTCGTATCCACATAACGTCAAACACACAGTTGTCAGACCGCTGATGAATCGAATCAATAAGCTATGCTCGAACGAATCCATCCGAGCGGACGAACTGACGCGACTCACTAGAGTATTACAGCTAAATAAATACCCCATGAGACTATTTTCCCAACAAATAGAATGGACGTTACTCGGGACGGTGAGACGAGAAGACAAAACCCCGATAGTCACCGTGGGAGTACCGTTTGGAGTTGGCACTTCAGACGCCATTCGATAAACTCTTCGGGATTATGATACTAAAATAGTTTTCCGAATTGACAGCACCTTGTGAGGGCTAAGGACCCAACGGAGCTGAAACACCTTACAAAGTGCATCCATCAAATTCCCTGTGCAGAATGTCCAGCAAATACATAGGCTAGACAGCTAGGCAACTCCATGTACGGATCGTGGAGCACAAACGATATGCGTGTTTTCCTCCAAGAAACTCATTAGAACGTGATTCAGACATTGCAATCCACGCACTTAAGTGAAACCATCAAATCAATTTCCATGGTACACGTATACGTACACCACAGTCAGGATTCAGGTCACATGTGGAGTGGACATGAGCTGAGGTCATGGAGATCAGTACACAGCTGAACTGCATCAACCGGAGTGGTGGCGCCAGCATCCCGTCTATCTGCACACCTTAGCAGGCATACTAACCAGATGCCAAGCAGGGATTTCAAAAATGGCGCATCACAGCCAACACAACAACAAACGTTGTTATCGTATTCATAAAAAGACTCTCCGAAAAGGAACGCAACAGCCTTATTGCAACAAGTGAGTGCGAAGTTATAAGGGCATCGCGGTATATATTAAGGGGGCACTGTCTGACCCTGATTGAAGGCTGTCTCACACTGTATGACTTTGATCCAGGGCCGACTCGCCATATATTTTGGAGGGTAGGGCGGCTCTAGAGCGAAGCTGTCAACTGTAGTCTTTTTAATATATATATATATATATATATATAATGTCAAGTCGGCGTCAGACTGTTTAGCTGTCATGTTTCTCACAGGATCATCACTTCGTTTACTGCCAAGTAAATGATGAGAAGGGTGCGCTAACATCACCATTCTTCAGGGTCTCGATGATGCCAAAATTATTCGAAATTGATCCATGAAGTTACTGGCTTCGATAGATAGTAGTCAATCTTGGTCAACAACATCGCTGACCATCTATGTGTGCTGGAATTGTATCTAACCTGCAATACAACAGATATCAATGTGCTTGAGAGGCATCTTCGGGAATTTGGCTGTGATTACGCGGACACTGGAAAGATTTCCTTAACACATGCGTAAGACATATTGCGTGGTGTTTCCATTTCTGTTGTATAATATGCAGGTTGGGTGTAGCAGCGAGGCGCTGATGTGCATCTGGAGCCCTAAACTACTGTCATTCTGTGATATCTCACTTACCTATGCATGCGCAAACGTTGAAGCGAAATCCGTGGCTTCCGTGATGTTAACCACGTGATATGATTCAGCTGTTTACTATTCGTCTCCTCTTTGTTGCCGATGCTTTCTTGAATGGAGCCCGCAAGTTTTACGTTTCAATATCGAAAACTGCGACAAAAATATGAAGGTCCCGCGGTATCGCGGCATCGTGGAAAGAGGGACCCTGTGTTCTAGGAGCCTAGATAGGCGACAGAGCTCCACAGGTGGATTCACCAGCACTTTCGGTGAGTTGCGTACTTTTTCGCGTCTGAACGGGCGAACGTGATCACACTCGAGCGTTGTGATTGACTTGACATACCAACAGAGCGACGACCTAGTAACTGTCCTGGTTTTGTCGATCGATCACCCATCAGGATCTTCTGATCAGGTAGCGCAATGGACGCTTTGAAAAATTCTATACAGTTTTTGATTAGCTGTAGTTGTTACGAATCGCGCAATCAGGAACCACCAAACAAAAATTGTGCAACAGATTTTAAGGCGTCCGTGACTCTTCCTGGCTGGGAACTCTGGACAGGCTCATCGGTCGAGCAACACAACCGGGGCAGTCGTCGCTTAAGCTGCGGGGTGAGCCAATCACATCGCTCTGGCGTAAACATGCTCCTCCGTTCGGATGCAAAAATTCGAACGCGTCCACAGCGTGTGCTGATAGAGTAGTGATGTAACGGTGATACTATGATGGGGAGGCTTGCGAGTAGTATGTTCTCTTCTTGTAAATTCGCTTGAAAAGGGAGATCTACTGCGGATTTGTGGACTCGCTTTGTAGCTTTTGCTTGGACTTGAGCAACACTCAATGAATATCCAGGGAAGTCCAGAAAAATGCGTTCAAGAGAAGATGGATGTTCAGTTTTTGTAACTATGATGCGTATGAGAGTTTTGCCTTTCTGTCCGATAGTCTGTAACTGGTCAGTTGGCATTCCCTAATAAAAAGCTCCGCAGCGAAGGTCCTCTTCCTTTCAGTGGCAGGACATTCAACTCACATGTCAGATGTCCTGACTTCAAACCCGGAGACGGCTGTTAAGAGCAAAGATGGAGTCCGCTTTGGTGTGGACTTGGCATCTAGAAGAGGTATCTGAACGTGAATTTCACAATGTCCGCAGCCAGCAACGCCTTATTCGAGAAATTTTGGATTCCTTTTTTCTAATCTAGCATAATATGAGACAGTTTGAGTGGTTTGAATCAGCCTACTTCACGCATGACATTTCCTGAATCCACGCATTCAAGCACTTCCGATTCAGATGTACTGCTTACCGTCAAAACAATGGAGCGAGGACTTTCGGTTACTTGGTTGCTTTTTCGAAATGTTAAGTCAGGAAACACAACGGATCTTTCATAGTTCTGACCTCCATGAGAATTCCATACGCAATTCACTTTGTCCACTTCATCCACACTGATCTACTGAATTCTTTATTGTTTATCGACATAGTCTATAAGGTTTTGCCGTTAACGACTTTACAGTTACATTTGGCATGTGCCTTTTTAGAATACTCAAAACTCAACATATTTTGACAGCATATCAGGCCTCTTCCCAGCTTATCTTCGTGAGGCAAGATGGTTCATTGGTAAGATCGCGAATTTACTGACCGGAAAGTCCGTGGTTCGAACCCGATCTTTGCATCTCGACTTCCCCTGTTAAGGCTTGGGTAACCTGGCGGTAT